AATACGTGTACTGACTGTTTAATGAGAAACTATTTGTTCTGTAGACCTTCACCTGAAGTAAAAAAAAAAACAAAACCTTACTTCAGTGAAATAATTTCTCAAGAACTTGTTCACTGCAGTGGCAGCAGCTTGAGCTCCAGCTGTGTCTCTGGTAACCCCTGTGGCTCTTGTGGTGGTTATGGTCTCGGCACCTATGACAGCTCCTGGTGTCCTTGTGACCTGGGTAGGCCCACCAGAAAGAAGGCTTCTCTGTTCTTCCCATCTTCCATCCATCTCATGCGTCTCATGTAGCCCTTTGGAAAGGAAAGCAGAGCTACACCCTTTCACAGTGGTTTCCTTGGTTAATAGAACCTCTGTTCTACTTCCCACTGCTAGACTTGCTCCATGATCTGCTGCCGGAAGTGATGGTACTATCTGTGAGAGCAAATACATTTGAGAAGTGAGTCAGAAGGATGGAGGGGGACAACTGGTAAGAGGATATGAGCTAAGCGCACCTAAGCAGGGAAGAGGCTATTTCTACTGGATCAAATCAAGAAAAACATTTTGGGTTGAATAACTTCTATTTCATTCATCTGAAGATCTCTCCATTCTGCCATCTTGCTCCGTAGCTAATTATAACTCAAGGAAACAAATACACATGCAGATAATGGTCTCAGCTCATTTACTCTATTGGGACCAATGACGTTTCAATTTTTTTCCAGGGTTTGACTACTTTTTCTATAGTTATAGTACTTCCTTTTTTTTTTTAGCTGACACATAGTTGCCCAAAATAAAGACTATTATTTCCAAGTCTCCATTGCTACTAGGTATACCCATGTGACTAAATTCTGGTCAATGCGATGTAAGCAGATACGGTATCTGGGAAATATTCTTAAAGTGCTGTTGCCCTTCACTTTTCTCCTATCCGCTAGCTGGAATGTGGGGAGAGTGGCTGAATATGAGGACAGCATGGGAATGAGCTCATCCATGAAGGAACAACAAGAAAGGAGAAACGTGGGGCCATATTGTGGAGGAATCATCATATTGGTCTTGGACTGCCCAAGTTTATGTTTACGCTCCTGTTATTTTGAGTTCTCTGACACTTGATGCCAAATTCACATCCTATTGGAAATGGGGCTCATGGCAGATGGCAATGAGAGACGCAGGGTGCAGATGCCAACAGAGAGACAACAGGAGATGGCAAGTAGGTAGGAAGGAGAGGATTTTGCAACAATTTACAAATGCCATGGTGGTTGTGGGGCTCGCCACCGCGAATCCTACGTTATGGAGGGGAATGGAAAAGGAGCTGTACGAGACTGTCCATTTAATATTGGGACAAAAATTTCTATCCTAAATCCTTCCACTCTCCAGTCTATTTGTCACTCCCTGATCCTTGCTCTACATTCTCGGTAACACACGAGGTGTCACAGTAGAGTAAAAACATCTTAACTCCACCCTGGCAACAAAAACAAATACGATGTCAGTTGAACCCTTTAACAAAGGCATGTGAATAAAATCCACAATGATCACTTCACTCTCTCATGACCTAAAGATGTTAGAAGCATCTCCCACGGCCTCTTTAAAATCCCAAAAGACGACATGTCACACTGATATCTGAGAAGCTGACCTTGTCCTCAGGTGGTGCCCCTTCATTGTTCCACGGGTGCAGCATCTCTATAGTACCAGGCACAGGGGCAAAGCCTTTGGCTCCCCCTCCACAACGGCACATCAGCAGTAAGAGTGGTATAACTGGGTAGAAAACAAAACTGAGTTCAGAGGAAGTAAGTCCCAACATATTTCTGAATTTATATTGCATAATTCTGGAATTTGCGTATCACTTCCAGGAGTTCACTCTTCACTTATGTAGGGCTGTATCTTTATTTTCATCATGATCCAACCTCTCTAAGCTTGTTTTGGATGAGATATACAAAAGTCTGAAGGCAGGATAAGAGGGTCTTACAGGTTCAAAGGGTCTAGTTCACCAAAAAGAAGCTGTTCATGGTTACTGAGTAGAACACCAAGACTGGATTAGATGGTATCCACGTCATCAAAACTAACCTAAAAGACTTGGTACATTTTTTTTGTTGTTGTTGTTTTATAACAGCTTTCAATTTTTAATATGAGAAAAATCACTATCAAAGGACATGTGTATGAAAAGATTAAAAGCTCCTAAGGATAGAAAAGTTTTAATATATTCAAATATTCCAGAACACTGGAACTTTCATAATACTTCACCGTAGAGTGGAATTGAGCACAAGGCAGGAATAGCTTAGGTCCCAATTAATCTTTGAATTATCTAAGGACAATTTTCTGAAATGATTCTACATTAAAAAACCTTCCTTTGAACATATATAACATTTTATTTAGAACTTAATAACATTTCAGAGCTCTCTCCTTTAATTTCATACCACCCCAGGAAGAAGGAAAAGCCAATGCTTCCCTTGCTGAGTGCAGTAAACAGCCACACCTTGCACAACTTGAAGAATGTAGTAAATTCAACTAAATTGTACATGTGGAAATCGTTGAGTTGTTGTATGGTTTGCTATGTGTATTTTCACTCTGCCCCCGCCCCCCAAATTAGCCACACCTGAACCAGTCCACCCTAAATTAGCTCTTATTGCCACTTCCGTTTGGTAGCTTCCAATGATGAACTGCCTCCCCTCTAGAGTCCTTTTAATGTAAAACAGTTGACAGCATAGTAATTATAGCTACTGTGAGTAATAAAAAGATGGAAATCATCCAGGGTAATGCATTTCAACAAATATTTACCAAGTGTCTGCTATGCACCAAGTGCCACATTAGGCCATGGGGAATCTGAGATGAGAAGGCAGTGCAAGGAATCTGTGGGTAGGAGATCTGGTCGAGGCTCCAGTACCTACTAACTTGACAAACTGAGACAAGTCATTTACCATTATGTGTCTGTTTCCTTATCCATAAAATGGAGATACTGTATCAGAATACATTATAAATTGTCAGGTGCTATGCATTGAATTGAACATCTACTAGTGGCTTTACAAGGCTCCATCTTTTGTCACTGAAATAGCCTAGGCTGCCTCAGAGGTGCTCCTCTGTCCATGTTCAGTTGTCAAGTGAAGTGATACTCCACACAACCCCAAGTTACAGTTCCTTGCTCTTTCATGAAAGGAAACTTGAGGTCTTTGGAGGGCATACAGGGAAGGCAGGACGTCTAGGAATATCTTGTCAATGTCAGGAAGCACAGAAGTGCTCAGAGCGTCTCGTTACTGTTGGTGTTGGTGAAGAGGCACGCCAAGCAGAGGGAATGGGGAAGTTGAGCTACGTCAAGTTGAGTGTGCAAAGCAATGACTGACTGGAAGAAGCTGAGTTTGTAAAAGAATGTTGTCTCCAGAATCCAAATCCATCTAACAAGTCTTTGCTGAGAGCCTACCATATGCAAGACACTTCTAGACACTGGGAATAGAGCAGTGAAGAACAGACACAACCCTTTGCCTCACACTGTTTATCAAAATGGAGACGCCAACAAGATTTATGCCGAAAGGTACCTGAAGAGCATGTATAACCTTAATTACTTAAATTGGGAAAAGAAACAATTTTATAAAACAGAATTCTGAAGAGTCCTAAGATAAGGTTTTGGTGAATTTATCAATTATCGTTTCCCTACTCTCAAAACTGTTCAAGTGTTTGGTTAAAGAATAAGTGTGAAGAAATCAACGACTAGTACAGTAGAAAATTATCAGTAGTGCACTTAAAATAGAAAGTGGCTTTTTTTTTTTTTAAATTAAATACTTACGTAGCAAGAGCAGAAGGGCCAAAATCATTAGCCAAATTGCCGAGGACCCCAGGCCAACGTAGGAGTCATGCAGGCTTCCCTCACAGCCACTGCCATCCAGACACTTACAGATGATGAGCTGAAGGACCTGTTTTTCAGGGCAACTGAAGCCTTTCGTATCTTTAATCTCGAATTGGATTTCATGTTGCCCAAGCTTTTGCTCCCTTTTTTGCAGCAGCACACTGGTACCTGTGAGGGTAGAAGGCAAAAGGAAATAAAAACGAGTGATCATCAAGGAAGAAGCCCTGGTGGAGCAGTGGTTAAGAGCTTGACTGCTAACCAAAAGGTCAGCGGTTTGAATCTACCAGCTGCTCCTTGGAAACCCTATGGGCAGTTTTACTGTGTCCTATAGGGTCGCTATGACTCGGAATCGACTTGACGGCAACAGGTTTTTTGGTTTTTAACCAAGAAATGGGTGAAATTAAATTTCAGAAATGTTCTTAAACTGCTAGTCATATTCGGCTCCACCTCGAAGTTTTATTCTTCCTTAACGTGTCTATTGGATTCACACTGTGTCCTTATTAAATTAGTCCATAAACCCCAAATATGCAGTTTAATAGCAAAGAATCACATTTGGACATCACAGTTGCATGAGGATTAATTTCAACAAACGTGTGCTGTCTACCAAACGCTAGGAGCTGTCCTATGCGTTAGGAATACAGTAAAAAGAATTCAAGAACTCACTGAATTCTAACAGTGTTATCTTTAGACAAAATAATCAATTTATTTATCTGGAGAGACAGACAGCATAGCATATAGGTAAAGACTAGACTCCAGAGCCAGATGGCTTGGGTTCAAATCCTGACTCCAGCCCTTACTAGCTTTGACCTTGGGAAAGTTAGTAAAACTCTCTGAGCCTTCATTTCCTTATCTGTAAACTGTTGACAGTAGTAGTATCAAAATTCAAGGGTGTGGGGTCACTATGAGTAGGAGAGGACTCAGTGGAAAATTTTTGGTTGTTTGTTTAATATTAGTACAGTGTCTGGCATATTCTAAACATCACATTTGTTAGATAAAATAAATACACTTATTGAACTTGCAATCCCAGTAAGTTCAAAAACCAGTGGAGTTCAACGCATACTTAGCCAAAAGAAAGGCAAACTCCAGTCAAGACTTCAGCCTAGGTGGGAGTCCCTGACAGAATTAGATACTGTGAGCAAGGATACCAACCACCTTTCAAGTTTGTGATATAATTACCAGAAAAGAGAGTGGTAAGCAGCTCCCTCTGGATGTCTGCCACCCAGAGCTCCTGCCAGATGAAAACCTGAGTTTAAGTAACCTCAATCGGTCACGATGGTCACTGTCATCCTTGGTGGGGAGGCAACTTCAGTTAACTGAAGACAGAACTGTCTTTTCCAAGTGAGTACATAAACCCTTAGAAGATTCAGAATTAAATATAAGGAATATTTAAACAAATTAAGGAGACAGTTTTAATATTTTTGTTTGGAAGGAATCTATTTGTATGTTTTTTCCTACACTTGCAATATTTTTAAGAAAACCAGTCCTATCTGTGGGACAGTTTTGTAACTTCAATTTAAAAATGTGTAATTGTGTAAGTGATTTAGACTTGTGATTTTTAGGCTGAAATATCAATAGTCTGTGTAGTATTGGAACATTAAAGAGAATTTCAGTTTCCACAAATTTATAAGTTTAATTTATTGGCATTTTAGAGTATAAAGATCCTAAGAAGGTTTTACGTATTCCGTCAGATAGCTGAAATACCTAAAAACGATGTAAAATATGTTAAATTGATAAATGCAGTTGGAAATGTTAAAGGTGTTTAATTTGTAAATTGGACCAAATATTATTCAAAGCCTCTTAAAATGACTGTAAAAATTTGCTAGACCTAAAATAATAAAACTGTAAGTTAAGAAAGACTTAGGTTTTAAATTTGAAACTTTACTGAAATAAGCACTAACTGTTTAAAACAAAAGTCATTTTCTAAACAGACTTTTGTGCATATGCAAACCACCCTGAAGGACACCCAAAAGCTCATATCAGCAGGAGGCAACCTGGCATGGGGATCAGACAGAGCATTTTTAAATTCTGTCTCCACTTACTAGCTTTGTGACTGTGAACAAGTTACTTTACTGAAGCCATGGTTTCCTTGGCCGTCATCCAGGAGTAATGTTGTGGGTAAGGATTGAATGAGATAACGTATATGAAGGGCTAGACAGTGGGCGCTCAAAAAATGAAATTACTGTTACTATACTTTAGGATTTCCAGAAGGCACCCACTAAGAGAGGCAAGTTACTCCTAAACGCAAGAGCCAAAACAACTACTTCAAGAGCTATTTGGAGGATACTCATCCACCGTCAAGACATTATTTTTCTTCTCTTCCTCTTCTGTTACTACACATGGGTATTTATCACAGGCAGATAAACGGTACCATACCTGTAGGTTCAGTACCTCATTTTATAAACTTTTAAAAATTATAAGGAGTCCTGGTGGTGCAATGGTTATACTGAAAATGTAATTTATGACAAGAAACACAGCCTATGTTATAAAGATTTTAGATATCATGATTAATATTTAGATTTTAATGTAGTCCAATGATTTTGCTTACTTTTTTGTTGTACTATTTTCCATTCTTCTGCCATCCCATGTGGTTCGTCAACGACAGAGAAACTGAAAGGCTCACTGTTTTGGTATCCATCCAGGTCTTCGGCAGTAATGTTCACATAGGGTGTCTCCTCACAGACACTCTGCACCGGGTTCACCAATGTGGGACAATTATCATTGATGTCTTCAACCATGATAGCAATGGTGCCAGTGATGGTTTTTCTAGGATAGTCTGAAATAACAAAAGGATGTTCTGGTCATATTGCTGACAATGGACATAGTTTGAATTTTTTAAGGAAAAGGCACTAACAAATTAGGATACTTCCTATACTAGATGTTTTCAAAGTCAGACCAAGTAATGTCTTCTAATTGACTAGATAAATAGAAATGTGAAAGTTTACCCACTGGAGAGATTTGGTTTTTAGACAAGATCCAAAGAAAGATCTCAGATGCTGGAAAATAAAATCTAAATAGCTACAACCAAGAAAAAATATCTACTTGACAATTTACCTTCTGATATAGCCAGAATCTTTGCAGTGTATGTACCATTTCGGACATATCTGGATTCAAAATCAGGAATTTTTACAAGTTTGATTTCAGATGAGACAGAATCCACAGAGATCCAGTTGTCTGTATCTTCCAATTTTATATATCTGTTATAAAACAAGCAGAAAATTAAATCTGAATTTGGGATAATCTGGGAATTGAAAACATATTTAGGATCTATAACTCTTTCAGGCTTAATTTCTGCCTCTTTTTGTTCTTGTGGTAGGCATTAATTTTGAATGTTTTAATTTCCTGAAGACATCCTAAAAGCCCTTCCTCTTTACCGCATTTCACACGTACTTGGGCGCTCTCCTCAGTTCTGTAACATTCCAGAGTCATTTAGGCAAGGGTGACCATTAACCTACTAATCCAGGAGTTTGTAAGTTGCTCTGCAGTATGTCCTATAGCTTTTGATCTAGGGTCCCATAAATCTGGAGACATCTGGAGAACAGCTAAATTACACGACAAGAACTGGTGGAGGGAAGTTGTATTACATTCTATTCTTTCTTGGGGATGTTATCAATATTTTAAAACATCAATTTTAAAAACCAGTGATTGCCTTGAATGGAAGCATTTAAAAATTTTGGAATATTGTTGATAATTATGAACAGTTGGTTTCTTTCATGTAGAATTGGTTAAAAGTGAAAACAAGGCTGATAAAGTGATTTTTTGGTTTTCTTCTCTCAAAGCAAGGAGAATTAGGGTGGAAAGAGACAGCTATGGGAAAGCAAGAATGTTCAGACTATGGTTTCAGAAATGGGTGCGATTAAATACCATCGAGTCTAAATATAACCAAATACAAACCAAACATATGGAGAACTTGGTTCAATCAATCAAATTGATAAATTATCTTCTATGAAGTGTCGGTTTAGGCACACAAGAATGAGTGGCTAATTTATAACAATATTTATTTACAGTGCTATTTTAAAAAAAATCCAATAACACATTCAAAGTAATTTTTTTAACTTTTAATATTTCTACCAGTAAATGATAATATACTTGGATTTTCACACATATTCTCAATTTCATGCCTGGAATTTTAAAGCTTGGATTTAGTTGCCATCAATGGTTTCCCATACTTATTTATAAAAGCATTGTCCTAGGAATAAGGATCCATTTCATGATAGGATGTTTTGTGTGATCTCATTTAAAATTTTTTCTACTGTTCTGTCATGAAAATTAGACACCATTTAAAGAAGGATGGCAGCCCACAGACATCCATTAACAACTGATGCATATCCAAAAACAATTGATACAGTAAAACAGTAACTTTTGCCACAGTTAAAGGAATGATTCTTTTGCCATCCCCATCAGCATTTCAAAACAACAACTGCTAAAAGCTGAACATTTGGAAAATAATTTAACTTAGCTGTGCCTTGCATTCCTTGTCTTGTGTAACAGGTTTGAATTTGATCTTTAAGATCCTTTCTCACGCTAAAGTCCTGTAAGTTATGCTGAAAAATAAAACACTTTTGAGAAGTAAGGAAGCATGGTTTATTATTCTTCCAGGGAGAACACATAATCTTTTGATGTATTCACGATCCCTAATAAAAACAGCGGCTCAGAATTAAATACTTAGGTGGGAAACAGAAATTTCAGTAGGTAATCACAATATTATTGGTGGATAACTAATCAGAACATGTAATTTCTCCCAGTAAGAAATTATCATATGGAAAGCAGATCTTCAGTTCTAGGGATTCAGTTAGGGCCTGCCTTGTTAGGTATGATTGGTTGCTGTGGAGCTGATTCTGCCTCATGTCAACCCCATGTGTCTCAGAGCAGAACTGTGCTCCACAGGTTTTCAATGGCTGATTTTTCAGAAGTAGATCACCAGGCCATTTTTCTGAGGCGCCTCTGGGTGGGTGGACTTGAACCACCAACCTTTTGGTTAGCAGCTGAGTGTGTCTGCACCACCCAGGGACTCTCTGTTAGGTATACAACCAAAAAATCAAACCCTTTGCCATCAAGTCGATTCTGATTCATAGCGACCCCATAGGACAGAGGAGAACGGCCCCATAGGGCTTCCAAGGAGTGGCTGGTGGATTCAAACTGCTGACCTTTTGGTTAGCAGCCAAGAAATAAAAACTAGATCACAGAACTCAAACATATAAGGCTGGCTCCTGTAAGTAGGGTGGGCAAGAGAGGGTCACCAAGACACTGCAGAGAACAGAGTGGAGACTGTTCACTAATATTATTTTGGAAAAGGTTACTTGATTCTATTGGCTGGCAAATTCTATTAATAAAAGATTCACTAAAATAAGAGATTGTTGAAAAGCTTCCTCTACATTTCTATTCTGACTACAGCCGGCCAGGGATTTAAATACAACGTTTGATGAAGCATCGCCATGGAGGGACCCCAGCATAAGGGCGGTCAAGCAACCCAACGGCTCTGGCAGCCACAGCAGCAAGACACAAGTTGTGTGTCTGGGGCAGCAGGTGGAGATTCTGCTGGAATATGCCAGTGGTTGTGCAAGGTGGAAGAACTATCTACAGCTTTGCAGAGAGTAGTCTCTCCTTGGCAAGGCTCTCAGATCTAAGATGTACATTTACTTTGAAAATTTAAAAGAATCATGCAAATCTAAGGCATTCTACAGATTATCTGCATTAAAATGGCTCTGTGGGGACTATCCTGTCCTTTCCATCACCAAAACCAAACACCAAAACATTTGCCATCAAGTTGATTCCAACTCATGGTGACCCCATGTGTGCCAGAGTAGAACTGCACTCCATGGGGTTTTCAATGGCTATAATCTTAAGAGAAGTAGATCGCCAGGACTTTCTTCTGAGGTGCTGCTGGGTGGTTTCAAAATGCCAGCCTTTCCATTGGGAGCCAAGTGCAAACCATTTGCATCACCCAGGGACCTCCTCTCTAGCACAGTGGTGGCAAATAGTAGGTTCTCATTAAATATATTTTAAATAAAAAAGCTGGAAGATCACTATGATCCAAACATTATAAAAGGTGCATCAGTCCCTAAAATAAAAACATGGTTTAAATGAAGATACTTAAAATTTATGCACAAATTAATCTGGTTTCCCCATATTAAAGCACATTATGCAACTATTTCTCCTAAGCAAATCTGTATAAAGTAGGATTTGGGGTAGATTTTATTAGTCACTTTCTTGACTTCCTATCCTCTTTCAGTAAATAAGACAGATGTTAATAACTTTCTGAACTTTTCCTTTGTTGCTTTTTAGCCTTCTCTAACCAGAAGGTTTAGCAACCCAGCCTCATCCTAAACATAGGTGGCTGAGTGAAGAGGAGTCTAGTAAAAATTCTTCCTTGCCCCTCAGTTACAGGTACAACTTTGGGAAAGATGAACCTATAAACCTTTGGGGAATTATCATGCTGGGGTATGCAGGAATGAAATGTTCAAATTTCTTTATGATTTCTGAATACAGGCATTTAAAATAATTTACAATAAGGAAATATATTCATAGCCATCTCTTACTTTACATGGGCTGGCTGTCCAGTGTCTTCATCAAAAGCTTGAAATGTTCCAATTACTGAGCCTTTGCTTGATTCATGCATGCCCTCGCTAATGTGAAAGGAGATTGTGCTGCTTTTAAAATGAATGCCTTCTTGCACATTTTTCACCTTTACTTTGATGGGAATGGGTGTCGGCTTATATTTATTCCAAACTGATTTGTGAAAAGCTGCTTTATTAGTGACAATAATACTGAAGTCAAGATTCTTCATTTCTTCATAATCTACTTCCTGGAAAGGCAAACACAGAGGGAACTCTTTGAAAGCAGAAACAACTAGAACACCATAGAACACACACATTTGGCTTTACTGTTAGATATAACAATTTACATATGAGAAATAGAGGAGCAGTCATTATTGCAACACTTTCATTGAGACCAAGCAATTAAAACAAAAAGTTTTTGCCATTTGGGATATTCATAAAGGTTAAGAATGTTCAGCAAGCATCCCAATTTCTTTTTTAAAAGGTCAAAATCTTTTAACAATATTATTTCTTTTAACAATCCAAAACTTTTTTTTTCTAATGAAAAAAAGTAGTTTATGAATATTCAATATAAGCTCATGTGTTCCATGGGTGCTAGTGAAAAAGACTGTATGAGTATTGGCAGCATTGTCTGCCCTATCCCCCTAATGTAGACTCACACTGCATATTAGCATATTAAAAACCGAGGGCTTCTGGAGTAAGAAAAATTGTTTAACTTCGCCAAACCCAGAGATTTTCAAATCCCTTTAAGCCAAAAACCCTGCTGCTCCTTTCTGTACAGTATCTAATAACATCTGCTTTGCTGTTAATGCTGTAAAAGATTAACATTCCTCCAAATACTGTTCTTTGTGAATTGTAGCTATTTATAATGTACATTTGATATAATCAGTCTATCACTGTACACACATTTTATGCTCCAATTTTTCCACTTTCTTTTTATAAACACTTCTATAGTATTCTACTGGTTCGATATACTTAATTAACTGAGCCACTCCATTATTAGGATTTGGAGTTACTTGTAATTATTAAATATAATTACAAAATTTCTAAAAAATGGGGTCAAAATTCCTTTTAGGAGTTCCTGAGTGGCACAAACGATTAAGTGTTCAACTACTGGCTGAAAGGCTTTCAGTTTGAACCTACCCAAAGGTGCCTTGGAAGACAGGCCTGCTATCTGCTTCCAGAAGGTCACAGCCTTGAAAACCCTTTGGAGCAGTTCTACTCTGCACACATGGGGTCACTATGAGTCTGAATCGGCTCGAGGGCAACTAACAACAACAAATTCCTTTTAATGGAATCTGATTTATTGCCCTTACATTTGGAAAACTTCTTTATATAATTGAGACAGTAAGTTTGTAATTTTCTCAGTCTGTTGCTTTCATTGTAATACTAACTGTATTACATTTTGTCCATGCCACTCTTGGTAGAAATGACTACAGCCTTTTTTTTGTGCTACCATGGTACATTGAGAATGCTTTTATTCTAATACTTCTAACATTCTTTACTGTATGACTGCTCCTTATGTGTGTTACTGACTTTTGTATCTCAAGTACCTATCACGGCTGCACCTATAATTGATGACTAAAAATTATGCTTATTTCTATATAAGCAGATCTATTTTGTCTCCAATGATATTACTTGTTATGGACTGAATTATGTCCCCCCAAAATATGTGTTGTAAATCCTAACCTCTATGTCTGTGGTTATAAACCCATTTGGGAATGGATTGTCTTTGTTATGTTAATGAGAGGATTAGTGTGGGGTGTATCTTGAGTCATTCTCTTTTGAGATATAAAAAGTGATTTAAACAAGCGAGCAGAGAGAGATGGCGTAAAATAGATGCTAAGATACATGGAGATCTCCAAGGAACCAGGAAGCAGAAGTTGTAGAGACAAGGACCTTCCTCCAGAGCCAACAGAGAAAACCTTCCCCTACACCAGATGCTCTGAATTCTGACTTCTAGCCTCCTAAACTGTGAGAAAATAAATTTGTTTGTGAAAGCCATCCACTTGTGGTATTTCTGTTATAGCAGCACTAGATAACTAAGACATTATCCATTTCTTCAATAAACATAAAATGAACTCTCCCTCTGAACATGACTTAATGTTATTCTATTTTCCTCTACTTTTGAAAAGGTAGTTTAAATGCATATAGCAGCTTATCAATAAATGGTGCCCACAGTTATTATCATGAAACTTCAAGTTAATTCCTTTTCTATTCTTTTATACATTTATATTGTCATCATTTATAATATAATAGAAGTGTTTTGAAAGCTGTAGCTTTGTGCAGTATTTTAAAATCTGGTAAGGCAATTCCACTATAAACCATTTTAAAATACATTGATATTCTTCCTCATTTATTCTGTAAGATAAAAACCTTTCGCTCTTGGGCTGCAGCTCCCGGCGTGCCCCGCACTCGGCACTGCCGTGCGCCCCTCCTCCTCCTCCTCCTCCTCCCCAGTCCCACAGAGCCGCCGCCTGAGCAGCTGCAGCAGCCACAGCCGCGGGCACTATGGCTTCTGGAGTTACAGTGAATGATGAAGTCATCAAAGTTTTTAATGATATGAAAGTAAGGAAATCTTCTACACAAGAGGAGATCAAAAAAAGAGAGAAAGCAGTCCTCTTCTGTTTCAGTGATGACAAAAGACAAATAATTGTAGAGGAAGCAAAGCAGATCTTGGTGGGTGACATTGGTGATACTGTAGAGGACCCCTACACATCTTTTGTGAAGTTGCTACCTCTGAATGATTGCCGATATGCTTTGTACGATGCCACATACGAAACAAGAGTCTAAGAAACAAGACCTAGGATTTATATTCTGGGCTCCTGAAAGTGCACCTTTAAAAAGCAAGATGATTTCTGCTAGCTCTAAAGATGCCATTAAAAAGAAATTTACAGGTATTAAAAATGAATGCCAAGTAAATGGCTTGGATGATATTAAGGACCGCTCGACACTTGGAGAGAAATTGGGAGGCAATGTAGTAGTTTCACTTCAAGGAAAACCCTTATAAAATGACAGTCAAGTGCCATCTGGGTCTTAAGGAGCCATCTGGATCTTAAGGAGCCATCTGGATCTTAAGGAGCTTCCATTTCTCCACCTCAGTCAGTTGAAATAGTATTAGGGTTTTTCTTTTTCCCCCTCCCCTCCCCACTGGGCCCTTTCGACACTTGAATGAAGGAGATATCATTCATTTAAGCATCCTATCAGTGATTGCCACTAGACTGTTAATACTGTTACTTTTATGTGGAACCCAAGGAATGCCTTTCTGTTGTACTCTAGCCAAAACAACTGGTTATACGCCTCCCCTGCAGCAGGCACTACAATGAACGTGACTGTCAATGTGAATAGCTTAGAATACTGAAAAGGGTAAGCTAATTGAATGCCTTGAAAGTATTATCCACTGGTCAGATGGTAAACTTTATTCAGTATTATTTAGAGTTGCACTTGGTTGCAGCTCTGTGAGGCTCAAGCATTCATACACCTCACCCGCCTTGGCAAGCCTATTTTTGGGACATGGCAGCAGAGATATAACACTATGCATCGAAAGCACTTTTTTTTGTAATGAATTTAACCCCTCACCCCAAAAGGAATGCCAATTAAGTTGCATAAACTGTGTCATCAACTGATCCTAGTACCTCAGCGTTCATTCCTGTTACTGCATACCTTCGTAAAAGAAATAGCTGTGTTAATGCCTTTTTGTTTTCCATTGAGTGTACACTACTGAATAAGTGTAGGAGTTTTATGTTTACCATGTGAGTCTTGCAACACTAAAGATATTTTGAGTATCAGTCATGATGGCAGTTTCTGTATAAAAGAGCCTTAAATGGAATATTGTTTTTGAGATCTGACTCCCCATCCTCACACAAATGGCCATGTTGCAATAAAAATTGTGGCATATTACAAAAAGAAAAAAAAAAGATAAAAACCTTTCCTGTACCTTTGTTTTTAAAAATTATGTAGGGGTTATAAGTTGCAAATGTATAAGGCTCATATGCTTAATAAAGCTATTAAATTTTTACTTTGCTTGATTCAATTAAGCACAAGACGTTAGAACACTACATTTCAAAATGTGATGCTCAGACTACTTATATTAGAATCACATGTGTAGTTTTTGGAAAAGGCAAAGTTCCTGAGCCCCACCCAACCACACTTATTGATGTGGGAGCCAAGAATCTGCATTTGTGGTGTGCAGCACTGGCAGGGGACTCTTAGGCATATCTAAGTATGAGGACAACTGAATCAGAGCTTCATCAAGTTATCATAGCTTTTGTTTTTATACGTCATTAGCGAGATTTGCCTTTACTGCTAAGTAGAGCAAATAAGATGTAGAAAGGGGGAAGGGGTATGCAGTAGAGGCAAGAGGTTATGAGGTGCATGTGCAACATCCAGGAATGGGCTTCGAGTAAGACCGGATGAGTGCTAAGTAATAGTGATGCTGGTATCATTCTGTCTGCTAGGATTAGAGTACCTGGATTAGGGGTTGGCTTTCAGGGCCATCTTAAGGATGACCTGATCTACGAAGGATGGAATGAGGGGCAGAAGAAAATGACTTCTGTAGGTGTGGTTATCATATATTAAAATAGAAGGGATCATCTCAATGAATTGAAATGAGTAAGTTGGTGTTGTGGAAAGAGTATGAGTTTTAGAATGAGGTAAACCCATACTTGGATTGTAATGTGGCCATTTACTAATCATAAAACTTGGGCAAATCAGGATGGCCCCTATCTCAGACAATCATGGTGCCAGTTAATTGAGTACATAAAGCACTTACAAAGTGTTTGGGCTCAGACAATATTAGTTTCCTCCCCTGCATCATCTTTTCCCGCTCCAATTCTGAAGTCTAAGTACTTACCTTAATAAGAGTCACAATCCCTTCATTAGTTACAGCATCAGTTTCTATATGAAAATAACCCCCTTCATTTCCTGATGCAAATGTAAAATTTGCTAACCAGTTATCGGAGCCTACTTCATCTGCATCAAACACTTTTATGCGCACAACTTCTACATTGGCTCGATTTTCTTGAACAGATCCTTCATACTGCAAAACATGAACATATGGTTTTAATTTTAATTTACTGTCTTTATATATATATATATATCTACATACATCTAAATGCAATACAAACTTAAGTGATATACTTTTACTTATGACTAAAACACAAAAATAAATAGGAACATTTATCATAAAAATGATAGTTACCATTTCATTTTCCACTACAGGTATATTGTCATTGACATCCAAAATCTGAATCTGAACTTGAGCTTGTTTTGCTGGTCTACTTGTTATTTGTCCATTGCCATCTCTCGCTTCTACTGTCAAAGTATAGCTGCTGTGTTCCTGCAGAGCAATGAGAAATATCCAACTCAGGTGAAAATGAATTGTTTCCAAATCCATCTCTTTCATTTTAGTTCACTTTATCATCAAGAGACTGGGCTTCAGTATAATTTATTCACAACCAAGTTTTATGACCTGCTGTTATTCATTTGAAGATGCTTTTTATTTGTAGTAACAGCTTTTATGAAAGGGCAAAAAAGGCCTAGAGGAGTGGCTGATAGTCAAATTCTTAAATATGCCATTGGTGATATTATCAGGAGATGCTTCTCTTCTTAAAATAGTGTGGACAAGGGATTACTGTTTATTCTACGCTGGAAGTGATGGCAGGACTATATTAATTGCTTCTTTCTACCCTACTTTTCATTCTCTGCTAAAAGTTAAGCCAGAGAAACCTAGTCTCCAAGAAAACTTGGCCAATGAGGGCAAAACTTGATCAAATTTGCCCAGACATCCTGAGAGAGGTGATTCTTAAAGAATGCATCCTAGAGAATGGTGTCTCCGAAGTTACTCAAAAGTAAGGAGTCCACATGGTCCCTTACTCTGGCTCCATTTAATGTGCTATAATTTAAGAAGGAGCAGAGCATCTAGTGGCAAGTTCACGGGGGCCTACGTGAGGCAGAACTCCTCAGTGAAAAGCAGGGTAGTAGGCTGCTTGGGTTCCAATTCTAGCTTTGTCACTTACTAGCTGTGTGACCTTCTGACCCTTAGTTTCCTTACTTATAAAATGGGGTTATACTTTGATCTGCACCATGTGGATTAAATGAGTTAATCCATGCAAAAGGGCTCAGAACAACACCTACCTCGTTGCCATCAAGTCGATTCTGACTCATAACAACCCTATAGGATAGAGTAGAACTACCCCGTAGAGTTTCCAAAGAGCAGCTGGTGGATTCGAACTGCTGACCTCTTGGTTAGCAGCTGAGAACCACACCAGGCGCATAGTAAATGCTCAACGGGTGATAGCTATTATTTGAGCTAAACTTTCTGTACTTCAGAGACAGCAGCTGTTAAAATCATTAAAAAAACTACTATTTTAAAATAATACTTTTACATAATTTAATGTGGAAAAGTGTAGAGTAAAACGTTAGGAGTAACAATATTGTTGAATATTACAAAGATCCTAATAGGAATGCTGGGCACAATCTTTCCCTGCTCTGGGCAGAGTTGAATTATTTTTCCGAATACTAAATACACTGCACTTAAACTACAATTTGTAGGTGATGACAATACCGTGTGTTCTGGATCAGTATGTTACTCGTATATGAGTTAAAACCTTCATGCATGTAACACCTTCTTTGTCTATCTCCTTTTTTTAATAAAAAAATTCCCGAGTTTAAAATAAAAAAGTGAAATGTTTGAGAGAGCATCTGCATCCCTCCTACAAAACCTACTTAATTTTTCCTTCAATTTGGGATTTGCAAAAATTCTCTCTTTTACAAATATTTCTATTATTTTAACTATGACTCCTATTTGGAGCACTCCCTCTCCTTTGTATATGTATTAGCAGTGGAAGAGAGTCTTGAACATTCATTATAGAGCCAAAGATTGAGCACTGTTGCCTTAGGATTCTGTAGTAAACAGAATCTTGACTGGAGAGGTCCTAGAATAGCACTGTCCATACATACATCAAAATTTTCTAGTAGCTACATTACAAAATGTAAAAAGAAACAAGAGACGTTAATTTAAAACAAACATATTTATTTAACCCGTTAAATCCCAAATAGTATCATTTCTGCATGTAATCAACATAAAAATGAAGGAAATATTTTACATCCTTTTTTTCATCGTACGTCCCACAACCTGGTGTGTATTTTACACTTACAGCACATCTCAGTTGGGACTAGTCACATTTCAAGTGTTCAAGAGACATTTGTGGCTCATGGCTACCATATTGGAGAGCATAACCCTAGAAGGAGACAATCTTAAAAGTTCTCCTAAGAACAAACAGTATAAAACAAAGTAAAAAAAAAAAACAAAACAGGAAAGAAAACAAATGAATACAGAGCAGATACTGGAAAAATAGTAGAGAGTCTAAGAGATAGGCAACAGAAAATCTCACTTACCTCTCTGTCCAAGGTAATACTTGTATAAATCTCTCCTGTGTCTGTCTTTACGTAGAATACTGGAAAAGAAGCAGGCTCCTGAGATACGATTCTATAGGAAATTTTAGAATTCATAGTATTGGGCTCATCTGCATCTGTTGCGCTGATTTTCATCACGAGTGTATCTGGCATTAGAAATAAAGGTGTTTAAGATGGAACTCAACTTCAAGCATACTTACATATGTTATTATTTTATTTATAATTTTAGCTTATCCCAAAAAGGGTTTCAGGTGCTTATCAAAATCACATACAGTTTAAAAATATTTATAAAAAAAATTTACCAGATGGGGAACTCAGCATGAAGGGGGTATAGGAATAGGAAAAAATATGAGGACAAGGCTGAGGTAAGTACATAAATTACTAGGGTGAAGTCCCTAAGGCTTGCTATAGGAGGAGCACAAATTTGTTTATAATATTTCTAGTAGCCAATACAAAGAAGCATGAATGGATACATGACTCTGATGTTTGTTAAGATATAAACAAATCAGGAGAAGCATTATTATTCTTTGCATTATGATCAATGAGAAATCTCTCTTGAGAGTTTTCATACAGAGTACTGCATTGAAAAACATTGTCAATGAACCTCACAGTAAAAATAACATAATTCAGGGGTCAGCAAACTATAGCCAGTGGCCCAAATATCGCCAGCTACCTGTTTTGTAAATAAAATTTTACTGGAACGAGGCCATGCCCATTTCGTTTATGTATTGCCTATGAATGCTTTTGTGAACAGTTGCTACAGAGATCTTACTTGTTACATCAATCCACCATATCTATTCCGAGGGTAAAAAAGATGCCATGTAAAGTCTTTTGAACTTATCACATAAAAGCAGTTCTAAACCTAGGTTTATTATTATTATTTATTATTATTTTTCCTGTGGGTAATACTTAGCTTCCATTAAGATATGAGATTTCATGCTCAGTTACACAATGGGTATAAAATGACCTTGGGTGTTCATTCATAAAAATAATAGCATCTTACCTCTTGCAAGCAACTCTTCAACAGCCCCAACAAAGACTTCCTGTGTAAACACTGGCTCATTGTCATTGATATCAAGCACTTTAATTCGTAGTTCTAATGGTTTTTCCAAGTTGTTTCCATATGCATCCAAAGCGTAACCCGTTAGCTGAAATCATGACATAAATAATAAAAGAGATTAGATTTAAGCCAAAGTAATAGAACTATCATAATATCCAAAGATAATAAAATAAATCATAACTATTAACCTAAGAATAATTACAAACTAATAAATGTAAAATAGTTCTTACCAGAAAAAATGGCGTTTCTTCTCGATCAAGAATGCTGGTAATGTTCAATTCTCCAGTGTCTTTATCAAACAGAAACACATAAGGTGGCTCTGTAATCCCTTTTCCAGTGTATCTGTATGTAATTTTTAGTCCTCTTTCTTCTGCAATATCAGAATGTAGCTAACATAAAAATAACAGATGAATGCCTGAAGTTTAATTCTGTATAATTTACACATATATACTTTTAATGGAAAATTCCTCACTAAAGTTGTTACCCTGCTGATAGGAGGGAGGGGGTATACCATGAGGGCTCAAGAGCACAGATGCTGGTATCGGAGAACCTAGGTTCTAATCCTGCCTCAGGCACTCACTAGTTACGTGACAGACACAGTTACTTAACCTCCCTGTGCCTCAGTTTTCTTATCTGTAAAATGGGGAAAATACTACTACTTACCACTTAGAGTTGTTGTCAAAATTAAGATATAGCTGGGATACATCTTGGAACAAGTAGATTTCAAATTCAGCACATAAGGTAAAAACTGAAGAGTCAAAATCACCCTCATAAACCCATTTGATTGTCTGGAAACTATGAATAAGGCATCCTCCCATAAAAACCAAACCAAATCTGTTGCCATTGAGTTGATTCTAACTCATAGCGACCCTACAGGACAGAGCAGAAGTGCCCCATGGGGTTTCCAAGGAGCGGCTGGTGGATTTGAACTGCTGACC